TCCCACCTCAAGCCTCACCCCCATCTCCTACCTACTAACCTCATCCCGGCCCCTTGACCTGTCCGTCCTCCCTGGACTGACCTATCTCCTCCCTACCTCCCCACCTACACTCACCTTTACTGGCTCTATCCCCGCCTCTTTGACCTGTCTCTCTCCTCTCCACCTATCTTCTCCTCTATCCATCTTCTATCCGCCTCCCCCTCTCTCCCTATTTATTTCAGAACCCCCTTCCCCTCCCCCATTTCTGAAGAAGGGTCTAGGCCTGAAACGTCAGCCTTCCTGCTCCTCTGATGCTGCTTGGCCTGCTGTGTTCATCCAGCTCTGCACCTTGTTATCTCAGAAGATTTCTTGAAACGCTTCTAAGATTCTCGGTCAGCAAATGGTTGAAGAGTTATCAGAAGGGAGGGTAGTGGAGAGGGATCGGTTGAATGGTACACTGGGCCCAAGGGGCTGAATGACCTTCATCTGGGAATTGTCTGCAGCCAATTTAAAAAGCCTCCCCTTCCCAGGTGTCTCCTTTGCGTGGAGCGCGATGATGTTTGAGTAGAATGAGTCACAGGGCATTGGAGGGTTCCCAAAGAAACCAGCATTGACCCGATACTTAACACTACAATCTTCCTCCACCTCTACCCCACCCTAACCTGAAGCTGCAGAGTTCTAGACTGAAGGCCTGGCCTTTGTCTCATTCAGAGGTTGAAGCACCTTCAGAATTCTCTATGCTTGGGGAGTTCAGTCCATTCCAGGTCTCTGAGAAGGGACTGAGTGGAGGACAGCGGTAATCTCAGGTGGACAGCAGGCTCCAGAGGGGCCAAATGGCCTACTTCTGCAGCTATTTAGAGTCAAACAGCAAAGAAACAGGCCCTTCGGTCCAACTTATCCATGCTGACCAAGTTTCCCTAACTAAACCAGTCCTGCTTGCCTGCATTTTGGCCTGTATCCCTCCAAACCTTTCCTATAGTCCAAAGCGAGATGGGCATAGCTTTAAAGTGAGAGGGGAAAGATTTAAAGGGGATCTAAGGGGCAACTTCTTCACACAGAGGATGGTGCGTGTGTGGAACAAGCTGCCAGAGGAAGTGGTGGAGGCTGGTACAATTACAACATTTAAAAGGCACCTGGATGGGTACGTGAGTAGGAAGGGTTTAGAGGGATATGCGCCAAATGTTGGCAACTGGGAGTAGATTAATTTAAGATACCTGGTCGACATGGACTGAAGGGTCTGTTTCTGTGCTCTACAGCTCTATGACAGTATCCATGTACCTGTCCAAATGTCTTTCAAATGTTGTAACTATGCATCTACCACTTCCTCTGGCAGTTCATTCCACACACGAACCACCCTCTGCGTGAACAGGTTACCCCTCAGGTCCCTTTTAAGTCTTTCCCCTCTCCCCTTAAAAATATATCCCTTCTGCATTCGAAGCTCCCCCCACCCTTGGGAAAAGACTTCTGCCGTGCCCCCTCGTGATTTAGTAAGGTCATTCCCTCAACCTCTTAACGCTGCACTGAGAAAAGTCCCGGCCTCTCCTAATAACGCAAAACTCTCTGGTGCTGGTAAATCTTTTCTGAAAATGCAACCCCCCCCGCCACAACTTCTCCAATTTAATATATGATCCTTCCTGCAGCAAGGTGACCAGAATTCTTTGAAATTTCTCATGAATGGGTGAACCCACAGTTATTGGTAGAGATCATGAAGATTGGTGTAGGTCAGAGGTAGAGTAACCATCAAACACTCCCCAGGACAGGGACAGCACGGGGTTAGATACAAAGTAAAGCTCCCACTACACTGTCCCCTCTATCTAACACACCCAGAACAGGGACAGCATGGGGTTAGATACAGAGTAAAGCTTTCTCCACACTGTCCCCCATCAAACACTCCCAGGACAGGGACAGCACGGGGTTAGATACA